TGATGGTGTCATGTCAGTCCTATACACAACCCTTAAAATAATGTGTTACCGAAGTAAAATATATGAGACAGGCCAGTTTTAAGAATTACTTGTACAGTCCTGGTGGATAGTGTGTAGGAGTATAAACATTGTGACTACGCAGTACTAAACACTGTTGGAAAGCACGGTTTGTTTATAGAGAAGAGCAGAGTAGTTAAGAGGTTTGACCTACACATGACTTTAGTAGAGTAGATGGAAAATATACAGTTGTACAATTGTTAGTGAATGGTCCAGTCTCAAGCTTTTTTTGATAAGAATATAACATTATAATTATGCCAATGTAAGAATGAATCTGGAGATTGTTTGGTATTTAGGTTTGTACTGTATGTCCGCACTTATCCACTCTTTTCTTTCTGTCTCTGTCAGATAGATAGATAGATAGATCGATAGATAGATGTGAGCATAGATAGATCTCGCTAGATAGATAGAGTAGATAGATAGTAGATAGATAGAGCATGATATACAAGAGTCCGTATGTCTAGTACATCATGCATCTGGTGACGGTGTGATGGTGTTGGCCCCAAACGGCATTACACACACGATGAACACCACAGCATGCGGTCTCTGTCTCTCCTTCTCTCACACACACGCACACGGACTCTTGCGGCAACACGCACCACACACACGCACACGAGTGTGAAGACACTGTTAAATCCCAGCCTGTCCATATTGGGAAAAATATTGATTCAGACACATTCTCCACTACACTTCAGTGTCTCGCGTGTTCACGTGATGCTAAAGTGTGCTCTTCACTGCGGTCTTTCCATGTCTTTCACCTCGATAATTTATCAGTATAATGATTTAACATGATGGCGTGTTTTTAAACCACTGTAACGGTGCCAGACTACAATACTTAAAGAGGTCCAGGACTTGAGCATCAGCTATTTGCAGAATTCGCGGTTTAAGGTCAACACTTTTACAAACATCGAGACTATTGGCAGAAATAATATAAATAATATATGTAGGTTTTCATAAGAGTGCTAGATAATCATGCTGAATATACGAATTGTTATGTTTTGTTACCTTAGAATAAGCCGTTTCTAGTCCTATAGAGTTCATTGTTACTGCCCATTCATCACAGGTAGGCAAGTTATGCAAAAGATATAGGATAGCTGCCTTTAATATAATGGTCTTAACTAGAGGTGCTAAAATTGGTTGCAGTCAATAAACAAGCACATCAACTGTGTAAACAGGAAATAACAGTTTGCAGCTCACAAAAGGCATAAATTCCAAATATTTTTTGAGTGCAAAATGACCTGAACCGATATATGCTGCATAGAATCCACACATGAAGTTGGATGTAGACTGTGACTAACTACTGGAATATGTTCGTCTGCTTTAATTAGCTCAGTCTACCTCGCTCCAAAGTCAAGACCCTTAGTTACATCTTTTATTGTCTGCTACATAGCTGTCTACATCTTGTTTTTACTGCAATTGGATCGGGGCACAAGTAACTGAAAGCACGCACTGCACTCAAAATGACTGATGTTTTCTGCAGATGGGAAACATTTTTCGACGTTCTTAAAGGTCCAGTGGTGTAGGGATTTAGTTGACGTTTAGTTGGTGTAGTTGCAGATTGCAACCTCCGCTTGCTCACCACTCCCCTTCCAAAACATGACACATGAAAACATACCTATAATATTAGTATGACTATTTCTGTCAGATACGGATCTCCTAAAATGATTACACACTGGAGCCTTTAAAGAACACATGAGTTAATCAGGCAGAGTCAGAAATCCTTGGACTGTTCGCAGACAGCTGACACGCATTCCATCCAGTCTATTGATCTCACCTGATGGAAGCGACTCCCTTCAACGCCCAACATGCCTCCAAGTCCCAAAAAAGCTTTCTCTTTCTAGTCTAATCCCATTTTTGGTGTGTGCTTGTCGCGTGGTGTGTGTGATGTTCTGCCTGTGTG